TGCATGCCCCGAGCGCTCGCTATTAGCCTAACGAGCAACAAGATGATGGCACGCCCACGCGCCAATACGCCCATGGGCCAACGTCTGACCGTGGCTGGCATGCACTTCCTGCTGCTGCCGTCGTTTCCGCCTTTCAAGTTTTTATGCGCTGCTGCCACGCCCATGCGAACGCCCTCGCTCGGCAAACGCCTTTCTTATCGGCGTCGCACGTTTTTATCATAAATTTTACACTCCGCTTGCAATTTTTCGCTTATTTTTGCGGCCGCAACTTGCAGACGGAACAGACATATATATATATATATATATATATATATATATATATATATATATATATATATATATATATATATCTGTCTCTTTATATATATGTATATAAGTTGCTGAAGTCTTGGGCCCGGCCATAAAATGTTGAGTTGCTGAGCCAGCCAAGTCCAATGGGCCGTTAAAATGCATTATAAAGTGCTACTTCCACCACACACATTCAAATATATATATATATATATATATATATATATATATATATATATGCGTCTGTATATTACCTATACGTAATGCGCTTACAAGTACCAGTTGGGCAGGAGAAGCCGCCAAATGTAAGCCGGATGTGCCTCGGACTCTGACAACTCGTTATTGTTTATCAATTTTATGAGCTCGGCGGTAAAATGCGGCCAGGAGTGAGATTTTCGTGCTGCGAGTCGCGGGCGCATCAAATCAAAGTACAATAATAAAATAAGTCGAGAGCAAGAACTAAGCCTGAAAGGAGCTAAGAAGCAAAGCAAAGTTTGAAGATGAAAATAATGTCAGATGAAATGATGTGAGATATGCGATACGACGAGCATGTAGTTCGCTGGGTTGATACACAGATCACGGTAGACATGGCTAAATATATGCTATATAGGTATAGTTATGGAGAGAAGGACAGATATAGAAAGCGATATATGGAGAGCTCGCCTGCAATACTGAAGATATGTATCAGATATCGGCAGCTATATGTTCCGCTTCTTCGTCCTTCATACTTATATTATCATGTCTTTCGATCATCTTTTCTCTCAAACTATTTTATATTAATCTATGTCAATTATTTATAGTTTTTATGTGGCTCAACGAATTGTGAATTCATTCGAAATTCAATAACTAAAGCTATATATCTTTACATGTATATATAATTTATATATTATATATATATATTTTATATATTAATATAATTCATATTATAGTCGAAACTTCTTTTAAGTCTTAAAGCTTTTGAAATTTGAATTCGTTTTTAAATTTCTATAGGCTCATATGGATCATATCTTTTTCTCCCCACTCTCGCTCTCACTGTTCGGCATGGCATTATATCTGCTTGACCTTAATGATATGCATTTTTAATTGGAATTGAATCCGTGGTCTGTCGTCAGCTTTAAGCTGAAGTTGTAGCAATTTACGACTTTGCGTGGATTACATTATGAGTCCCACGTGAATGGAATGATTTGCTCTGATTGCCAGCGCGTTCTGATGTCTGTCGGTATTTTGGATATATATCCTATCTGCATGCCAGATGCCAGAAGCCGCATGCCCCATGACCTACGCCCTATGCCGCATGCCACATGCCGCATGCCGCTTGCCTCTGTCGCCCGTTCAGCGGCGCGTTTCTGAATCTCACATTTTGCTCCTCACCGCAGTTGCTGTTACCCTCTAGTCCTAACCTGCCCCTACCCCTTCTCGCTATCCCCTTTGGCTTCCCTCTTTTTGACCGCACTTCACATCAGCTTTAAAGGCTGCGCACACACACAGACACTTGCCCAGGCCTACTTATATGCATATTATGCATATGTTTGTTTCCCTTTTTTACGGTATTTGTATTGCATAGTGTGTATACGCAGCGTATGCCGGAAACTGGCGTCCCACTTATGCAAACGATGTGTGTACGAGTGTGTGCCCACTGTGTGTTGTGTGTATGTATATTTGTGTGTGTGTGTGTGTGTGTGTGCACAGTATCATTCGCGCTATCATTGACATCAAACAAGCGCAACAGCAGCAGCTACAACGAGCGCATCCTTATCAGCAGCAACAACAACAACAGCAGCAGCGGCAGCGGCAGCAGCAATTGCAACAACAACTTAAATGTTGTTAACACAATTCAAAAGTTGCGAAATATTTGCTGCCAGCTGCCAGCGGGCACTGAGATTTCTATGTACACATAAAGTATATATATATATACTTCTATATATATATATATATATATATATAGTGTTTATGTATATAAATCATTTGCAGTGTCTGCTAAAGAGAGCATTTTAATTGGGTTTCTATATCATTTTATATGTATGTGTATACCCTGTAATTGGCTCACGTAAGTTGTCCATATTTATATGCCGTATTCTGTATACCCTGTAAATCAGAAATAAGCAGAGCAACATGGAAAGGCAAAGATTCTTAGCATTCTCTTCTAGACTGCACCAAATGCAGGGTATCACATCGTTGTTCACCTAAAACTATGCCATCAACCGTTGCCGCTCTTAATTGTGCCTCAAAAAGGCAGTAAGGGACGAGGACTGGTGGCAAGCAGCAGGGGCAGAGCAGAGCGTAATGGGGGCATAGAGGCGTCTGCCTGAAAGGTAAAACGAGACGAACCGCACTTAAAATTATCGCAAGTAAAATATTTTTGATTCTATTTTTGTTTCATTTTTGTTGCTGTTTTTTGTTGTTTTGGCGCTTTGAATGCGCTTTAATTGCTGCACATTTAAGTTATGCTAAAGGGTATGATGGCTCTGGCAATCAATATGTAACGTATAGATGGAGTGAGCATATAAGTTATTTTTATATATTTTATCTATATAATTTTAAGCAGATTAACTTAGATTATCTAAGCCTTTCTACTGCTGCTAAGGGCACTTTTGAGTCGATCTCAATATCATTAAAGCCATTGATTTGATTTTGAATAAATATATATTAAAATTTATAAATAATTTGAATATTATTGAATTGATCTTGAATAATTTTTTGTGCTTTTCTAACTTTCCTTTTTCTTCAAGCTTCAAGGTGTTAAATGTTTCATACCACCCTCGCATGTATAGCATATATCATAAATTGAATCACATGATCTCTTTATGTTAGGGTATTCAATATTCGCTCTGCTCATTTGAAGTTTTGCTTTTCTTTTTTTTTTTTAATTTTGTTGCCAGCTTTTATAATTGCTGGCCGCAGATGCAGCACTTGCCACGCCCTCACCCTCCCGTCGTCCGCCGCCCACCGCAATTTGGCCAGCTATGCTGCGTGTTGCACGTTCCACTGATTCGACGTCGCGACGTCGGCATCTGTTGCAACAGCAACATCAAAGCGCAATTTTCGCAGACATTTTTATTGCATATTATTTACATTTCGCTGCCTCTGTCACGCCCGCTTGCAGTGTTGTAAAGCGCAACAAACCAGCAAACAAACAGCACGTTCATCATAATGATCGGCATTAACGTCATTACGACTCTGCTCACGAGAGATTTATCATCTTTGCTCAATTTGTAGATTTTTGTTTCTGTTTTTCTCTTTGCGCTTAATTGAAAAGTGAAATTGAATTTGGCCAGGTGAAAATCGCTTTCGTTCGGTTTTTCCTCGTTTTTCTTTTCGCCTACATTCGTTTGTGCATTAAATATTGAAATTTTATACACACACACACATAGGCATATTCGTAGATAATTAATATATATATATATTTTTTTTTTTTATATTTTCCTTTCTTTCTTTCTTTTTTTTTTGTCCGCAAAAATCTTCGTTCATTATTTTCGCAACTCGCATTTTCCATTACGTCGAGCTTCGCTTTTCTTTCAGCTTTTCCTTCTCTCTCATTTTTCATTTTTAATTGTTTGCATTTGTGCGATAATTGCAAAATTAACGAATTGTTCAGCAATTTATGCGACTTATGTCCACGCCTTGGGCTCCTATTATAATTACTATTAACAGCTGAACGAAGGAGCCTCTCAAGTTCTCGGGGGCATGACTACAATTAATTGATGTCGTAAACAACAATTTGCTCAAACTACCTTTGGCAGGCAGATGAAACTGAATATATCAAGAAAGTTTATGCAGTTCGATTTATTCTTAGAAATTTCTATATGTATATATATATATATATGTATATATATATATATATATATATATATATATATATATATATATATATAGGTTTGATTTTCTTTCAGAATAAAATACATTCAAACTACAATAATTACAAAAGCTCGTCAAATTTGATGAGACTTGCTAACAAGTCTATACTTTCCGTAGGTGTCGAATCTGTTACCAGAAAAGTCATTCCTTTCTTGAAAATATTCGAAAGTCCAAGACGTTCGTCATGAGATCTAAGAGCACTATCAGTTAATCAGTACGCTATCTGTGAGCGTGAATCACTTTACAATGAAATTAACATCAGCTTAGCATCTTTTAGAGCTGCTTTAATTCATGCCATATCTTCTCTCTCTAGCTTCAGCTGTGGTGCGAACTTTAAATTAACATTATGTTAACTGTTAATTTCTTAAAATTTGATGCATATTTTACTCGAAGCTCACAGCACAGCAGCATTCTGTTAACATGCAATTAACATAATGTTAAGCTCAGGCTGTCAAACATGAAATATGATCTCTCTCTTTGCCCTTGTCATAATTCAAGCTGTTCTTTATAACATTATGTTAACCTACCTTTAACATTATGTTAAGTCTTATTGTATAGCGACTTAAAGCCTTAAAACTTCTTCATATTTTGCTTATTATTTTACTCTTACCATCCTTTGCTGCTATCAACATCACATTAACATAATGTTAAATTGCATGTTCAAGCATCTTGAAACCTCAAGCTTCTTCAAATCTGATGAATCTTTATTTTTTTGTTCGTCTCTTATTTATTTATCTGGCGACAATCCACTTGCCATTGACAACAACTTGGGCCCAACTTAAATGTGAAGTGACTTTTGCTACTGTTTTACTACTTCACTTCTTCTTTATCATGTTTTCTTTTATTTTTGCTTGCAGTGTCGCACGAATTGCGAATAAAGTTGCAGCACAGCAGCAACTGAAGCGCAACGGCCAAGAATAATATAGCACCAGCGGCGGCAGCTGACACAAGCAACAACAGCAACAACAGCAACAACTTGCGACGAGCCAAATTGTTGCATACTTTGGCAGTTACAACGAGCTCACGCACACACACTTACGGCAGCAACATGTCGTTGTTGTCGCTGGCAACAGCAGCAACACGCAGCAGAGCCAGCAGAACATTCCATGTTGCCAACACATTTCAATTGCTGGCAATCGCTTTTTATTGTTGCTGTCAATTGGAGCTGCTGTTGGTTCACGGACAGCAGCAGCAGCAGCAGCAAGCGATATCTGGCGCACAGCAGCAACATAAATATCAGCAATTGCAGTATCAAATGCAGCAGCAATATGAATATCAGCAGCAACAGCACTTTCAACAGCAGTTCCAGCAGCAGCAGCAGCAGCAGCAACAGCAACAGCAACAGCAGCAATTAGCAATGCCCACAGCAGAACATATGTTACCGGAGCAGCCCATCGACTTGCTTTCCACACAACCAACTCAGGTAGGTGACATTAAGTAATTGATTGACAGCGATTGATGGCGAATTTCCGCTTGATTGAAGCTAAGCATAAGATAGGCAAGACAAAACGAGCTAACCACTTATTAAGCTAAAATCTGTTTGATTGATGTAGATTGATGATCAAAAAAATTGCTAAATTTTCGGTTAAGCGTTAAGGCTTTTGTGTAGAAGAAGCCGATTCATTTGCAAGTATATTTTGTGATTGACGATTGATGAATGTAGAATAAGAATTAAAAAAAAAAACAACAATAAGAAAACGATCTAAGGCTGTAGATTGACTTAGATTGATGGAGCAAATGATATGCAAACTTGAATAAAACAAGTTCAATCATGTTGCTGATTGAAGTACTGCATAAGAATGAATGACGATGATGAGTGTTTGACTGATAAATGTAAAATTAATTGATTGCAAATCTATGATTCACCAAATCTTTCTTAAAATACAAAAAACTAAATTTTCTCATTAAAACACTTGCCGGAAATAATTTATTAGCCAAAGTCCAGCGAAACTTTATTTAGTCAACTTTTGCTTTGGTCCTTAATAAGCTGCTTTTGCAATTAATCAATTCGCTGATTCGCCTGTTCCAATTGCCACCTTTTCCATCGGCTAAGCCCAGTTTTAGTTCGTTTTGCTCGACAAATTGAATTTGTAGCTGCAACTGCTTAAAGACCCAAATCCCGAAAGCCAACTCCACTTCATTTCGACTTAATTTTTTTGTGCTCCGCCTGCTCTGCGTTTGCCTCGACCCAAAGTTCAATAAGCTGATTAGCCAATTGAAAGCAGCAGACGGACTAATAAAGAAAGAAACGAAAAAAAACCTTGACTTTAGCAGTGGCTTTCAGTTTTTTTTTTTAATTTATTCGCTCTTCTTCTTCTTTTTTGTTGAAGCCCCTAATTTGCGGTGCTTAGTGATTAATTTGTTTTTGATAGACTTTAAGCTATATTTCATGGAAGGCAACTTTCTTGTGGGCAACAATTTTGCTGTTTTTTTTTTGCGACTGCTGTCAACGCCAAGCCGAAGCAAAGCTCCATTTTATGAGGCCAAAGAAATTGCAAAGTGATTGAGAAGCACCGAGAGAGCCATTGAGAGACATATGAGAATGTTGAAAAGCTGAATTGAAAAGGAAACTAACAACTGCTAAGCAATAGACTTGCTGTTAGTGCTAACATTGCCATGAACTGAAATTGATCCGTTATTGAGGTAGGTGCACCTAAGCAGCTGTTAATAAATAGCTCGCTGTTAAGCATAACTGTTAAGATTTGAAATTTATATTGAAGGACCAAGTCTGTGTTATGTAAACTAGCAGTTAGCTCGCTGTAACTATGGACATGCTCTGTTGATGTGCTGTTAAGTAGATGTAAATTCCTTAATATTACTGGCAGAAGCGCTGTTATCTACCGCATTCCAATGAATATTTATATAGCTAATAAGAGTTAATACGAACCATTGACAGGATGATTCAATGGTCCATATCTATTGAATGCATTGCAAGTTTTTGCAGCTGTCGTTGCGCACATCGTTTATACATATCTATAAGCTCTAATTAAAGAATCATATTGAAAATATATTTCAAATAGCTGAAAGCACATTTTCAGCTATTTCAGCTGCAACCACACACACACGATAACTGGAGCCACTTTCATATGGTCATGGGATTCCATAAACCACTTTGTTAGAAAATTGCTTGTGTTTGATTCCATTGGCGATTGTCGATTGCCGTTTGAAAGGAGACAGGAAGGGGCAAAGAGTTGGCTGTTGAGGCCACTCGCAGTTCGCGTGGCTTACAAAATTTTATTGCACACAGTAGATAGATATATATATATATATATATATGTTTATGTATATATAAATAGAGAGAATGCTAGCGATATTTGGCCAATACTTGACAGCTATCGCACTGAGTCAACGCTTCCTTGATTGCCTTCTGTCTGACCAGCTCTTCAGCTATTCAGCTTTCGAGCTGACCAGCTTTGCCCATCTGTTTCGTCTTTTTGTGCCACTTGGCGTCTTTTTTCTGTTATTTTCCGTAACAAGTTGACTGCTGTTTTTATACTCCATTTTGTAAGTTACAGATCAACTGCTTGAAGGGTATCTTAACTTCTAGCACAGTCGCATGTAAATGTACTATCTGCATTTCATATTGAGACTTGAATGACCTTTCATAAGTGTACTTTGTACTCATTTTATAGGGTATATAAAAGACAATACTGTTGAGTGAAATACATTCCATATAACTGAATACGCTAAAAACTCAAAAGCTATAGCTAAAGTAGCTAAAGACTTTGTACAATACCGATAAATATCGATCACATCAACAAAGCAAATCGTAGGGATTATATATATATATATATATATATATATATATATATATATATATATATACAATATATATATAGAGATATATTGTTTAAAGTATAAGCAATAAAAAGTCACGTATATTGTCGTATTATAATATCGATAAATATCGATTTTTTCCTATCAGCACATTGTAACTTAAATACAGTTTATCATATATTATCTCAATCATACCACTTGTGTTTGATCAAGTTGATTAATAATATATATCATATCGATAACTATCGATTTTCAAAGAAGTTCTTTTATCATGATATGCCTCAGTGAAGAGTATCTACCTAGTGTTGCATACCCGTTCAATCGCAGTTTTATTTGTTTTACTTAACATTTGCAATAAAATAAAATCCGCCCAGAATCGGGCAGCGTCATGTGGCATAGCATTGCTTGGCCCCAAGCAAATGCCCCTAACCAAATGCCCCAGCGGCGACATGCAACGGACATGGCAGCAAATACATATAGAGCGAGAGAGAGAGGGGGAGAGAAAGAGAAAAAGAGAACGCAGCTATAAAGCAAAACTCCATTCATATATATGGCTTTTGTGTGTGTTGTATGTGTGTGTGTGGACCACAGCGAAAGCTGCTGCATTTTATTTTACCATTTCGTCCCATGGGAAAATTTATGAATTTGGACTCGCAGCCGCCGCTGGCCGCACATATGCGGTTTTTATATATTGACACTTAAAATTTATGGCTCTTAAAATCTACAAAACGCTGGCTATACGATCCAAGCGAAATGCCATTTCTTCTCCGCCCGTTCCGGCGTTGTTTTATTTCATTTTGTTTTCATTTTTCATTTTTGTTCACTTCCGTCGAGCTTAGCCGAAACAAAATTTTTGTTTTGTTGCACAAACTATGCGAAGCCAGCGACACTGAGAGCTCGCAAAGCTGACAAAACTATATGGCAAATCGAGCTGAAAATTGCTAGTGTCACCAATAGCACACATAACGCTCTATATATATCTATATATATATTTTTCTACATATGTATGTTTATATATATATGTGTGTGTTAGGATATACGTGTGCTCTGTTGCAGCTATTAGCACAAACCGTTAAAGTGACGCTGTTAATGGCATTGCTAAATCTCTAAGCAGCTTATAGAGTTGAACATAAATGTAAGAAGGATATCCATAACTTGCACTTAAGCAATTTACTTACAGCGAGCGACAGAGCTTAGCAGAGCGCAACAAAATATAGCTTCATGTGACCTTAATTTGAATTTGAAAATATTTTCTATTTAATTATTTATTATTATTAAATATTTACCAATCAACTAAAGCCTGTGCTCTGTTAACATTGTAAATATAAACATGATTTTACAGAAACATGTTATGTAACATAGGTATGTAACCTAACAGAAGCATGCAAAGCATCTTTTTTAACAGCGTTGCAGTTACATGTTGACTTAACCAATGTTACTTAACAGAACTGTAAGAGAAAATTGGAATCACTGAAGCTCTTTAAGCAATCACAAATCTTAAGACAAAGTAGTTAATGAACTGAAATTCTGTTAATCAAAACTGTTAAAGCGAAACTGTTATTAGCCGAGAGTAATTCAAACAAAATGAATTCCAAAAATTATTTACACAACAATTTTTTATACATGTCGGAATTTCATATATAAATAATGCATGACAAAAAGCGAGAGTGAAGAGAGAGAAAGGAAGATGTAGATTGAGCCAGTTGAGTTGAGCTGTGCGTGTGTGTGTGTGTGTGAGTCAGCGTCAAAGCTGAAAAGCGCTTAAGATTAATGATGCAAAAAATTGAGCATCATCAAAGAAAGTGAAAATGGAATTAGGTGCAAAGGCGCTGAGAGCAGAACGATGAAGAAAAAGCGCAGAAGACGACGAGCCAGGGCAGACATGCTCTATCAGATAGAGCAGAGGCAGCAAAGGGACGGGCAAATAGGTAGGCAATACGTGCAGCACGCAAAACGGCATAAAACTTAACTACAATAAGCGGCAAGTGGCAAGCGGCAGGCGAAGCCAAAAACGAGCTGCCAACTAGAAAATGGCCAACAACAACAACAACGTAAACACCAGACTGAGCTTGCGGGTGTATGCATGTGTGTGTGTGTGTGCGCGTGTGTGTGTGAGTGGCATGTCAAAGCTCTCGCTGTGTCTATCCAAGTCGCTAGAAACTGAGCGCCACGTACGAGCGGGCGGAAACGGAAAAGGAAATGGCAGGCATCGCCAAAGCCGACTTCAACGCCTGCGCACAGTGGTCTCAAAATCCAAATTATTAACCAAAAAAAAGATAGAGTTCCAACTTAATTAATTAAATCAATTACTCAGCCAGGCCAAATTGGCTCTATGAGGACATTTGTCTGACTGCTGAAGGGCTAACAGAGTTCGAAGCCACGCCTAGTTTTTGCCATATTTCCTATATTAACAATAGCAACACTTAAACAAAAACATTTCAACTATATTTAAGTTATAAATAAAACTTTACAATCATCACATGAGAATCGCATAGAAGAGCTGCAGAGACACTATGTTGAGTATAAAAATAAATATATTTAAGAATTATATTTTATTTTAATTTCTAAGAATCACATGAAACTTAACTATTCAGCTTGCAGATCTATGTTCCATAATCTGCTTTCTCTATTTAAGTTTTCGCTGAA